TAGCTGCAGAAACAGTGACTCCAGAGAACTTAGCTTTATGACTGTATTTCCACAAACCCCAATGGTTAGATTTATAGGGGGTTGTACATATTTGCTTCCATAGGTTCCCTCTGCATTAGGGAAGGGGTTCCTAAGAATAAGGATCCCAAGAAATAGCATGATTCTAGATATTGTCACCCCCTGCTTGTCCCTTCTGGTTTGTACACTGTGCTGCAACCATCCCAACACGAGATGCCTCCTGGCAAGTGAGGGAGGGGCAGAGTTGGAAACTCACAACATAATTAACGATGGGATTGTCAGTCACTGATGTCAGGCCCCGCATCTACACACCATGCACTGGCATTGATCTCGCCCTGCCCACTCGGCCCAGAAAGGCAGCGAGTGCCTCTCTTCATGCCAAGCCACCACGTCAGTCTTGGTCGCCATCAGACGACTCTTCTTCTGCCTCCTCCAGCCACTGGATAAACTTCTGGAGCTGCACAGAGAATAAAATTTAATGGGGTAACAGCTAAAACAGATCCAAACTGCTTGGCATGCTCAATAACTACACTGTATCAATGAGCACCACCACCACCGAGTGGGAAGGAAGGGTGTTTCTACTAGACATGAAAATACGCAGATTAAGGGAGAGGGATACAAGTTTAAATGAAAACAAACTAGGATGCCATGGCAATCCAGGCTCGTTGGATTCCTGAAGCAGATTTTTCCAATCAGACTGTCCCTGAAATGCTCAGTGAGAAGACACAAGTTTGAGACAGTTGTCCTCTCTAGAGCTCAAGGGAGGAGAGATGACAGCAGCACCTTAAGGCATGTTAGGAAAGCTACTGCTGGGAAAAGTCTTCGCCCTGACATACTGCTATAAAAAAAGGCAGCTCATTTTACCTTTTAACCTGGCTTAAATAAGCAATTGAAAGCACTGCTGACCTATACTAAGAGTTGACTTTGCATAGGCTTTAAACAAAGGCGGGTTTCTTCAGAGATGGCCTTTCCCCCACCCTCCTGTTCCAAGCCCAGGGAGGAGAACTGGAACAGGGCTCAGCCAAACTGCAGCACAAAGTTCTGCCTGATGGAGAGAGGAAGTTTATATGTTCCTTACAACACAAGCCAAATGAAACTACTGAGTACCATAAATGCTAAGAAATATATTCAAAGAAACTGGTGAGCCAGGAATGAAAGCTTCAAAGGAATTGCATGGGGCCAGCACATAGGACATTGGCCTAAAGCCCATTTCAAATGGGTGTTGGCTTACAGAAGTTGTGCTGTTACTCCAGAAAGTGCTGGCCTCATGTTATGGAGAGCCCACTAAAAGCCATCCCTCTCTCCTCCTACCTCCATTCCTCATCCAAACCATGCAGGCTGATTATGGCAGAACTCACAGAGAGAGCTGTTCTGGAGCACAAAATTGTGGTGCCCAGTGTTCAATGCACTGGTGCGTTCCTGGCCTGCCCTGTAATGGCAGCTGCTTCCCAGAGGGAGGCAGTGGCCCTGAGCACCACTTGAACTTTCTTTCACAGCTCACGTATCATTTTTACACCTTGGGACTTACTCGCTGGTTCTTACGAAGCTGCCTTCCCTTGTCAGATGTGTCCCGCAGAGAGAACCAATTCAGAATTACATCTTCTTCCAGGATTTCCAGCTGGTAAAATGTCATCAGCACCTGCAACAATTAGAGAAGAGCGACAGGGCTCTCTATAAGCTAATCCTAAAAGAGGTGATACCTGAGCATGAGATTTGCATATAGTTTGTGGCTCCCAACCCTGTTTTTAAAAGAATGGCCTTAGTCTGTTTCGTTTTGTATTTATATTAAACATAATTATGCTTCCCCTGCTTCTGACAGGTAGATGCTATGATACGTGTCTAAGTTCAATCCTCACCAGCTTCTGCTCTGAGGATGCAGGGCAAGATTTAAGAGCCGTGGGCAACAAGAGACCCACAGAGGGCATCGGTTCAGTGACTAACTTCAGTTCTCATCTTAAAGCACCCCAAAACCCATCCCCAAAGCAGCTACAACAGGAGGCTCTTACGCAAGCCTAGATATGTGCAGCTGTAGCCTGTACACGAGAAGAGCGTGAACGAAGGCAGCTCTGCCCCAGGCTCCCTGCTCTCGCCAGGCCTCCCCCAGCAGAGCCTTATGGCAGGTGTCAAAGTGATTGGTCATTCCCAGGCTCAACCCCCTGCCCAGAGCAGTGAGGAGAGGCCGCAACCGCCTCCTCAGGGTGTCTTTGTGCTCCGGCCGAGCTGGCGCTCTGCAGCCGCACTCCTCGCGGCAGAGCACTGACAAAGCGCGCTGCCAGCTCCACATATAAAGTGTCACTTCAATTCCCAGCCTCCAGGGAAACCCAGGCCCCTAGAACAATGGACACATGCCAAACAATTGCTGTAATTCAAGGACATTTTGGCTCACCAAGCTGAAGGCTTGGCTCCAGTCCATGCTAAGTGCTTTGCCATTGGCCAGAGGCACAGGTAGCACAAGTTATGATTCCTCTTTCTTGATGAGCTGAGGGTTAAACGTGATTCTAGGAAAGCTCTTCCAAAAGAAACAGGGGCTTCCTGAGACATTGCGGAGGGAAAGACTTAGAATCCGAGTCAAACATTCCTTGTGTGTTGGGGCAGGAAGAATCCAGGAATTAAAAACTTGAAGAGGTACATAGTAGGGGAAACATACTGAAAACTCTGAGGGATGGGTACTAAACCACATTTTGCATCCCCTTTATTCCCAGCTTCACAACTTGCTTGGCCTAACTAGGAAATCTTGCCCTTACTCCTAACTTTGCACTGTAAAGAAGGGTAAATTATTTGCCAGTTAAATCTCACAAACTGTAGAAAGGAAGGAAAGCTCTTCCTAAAGCAACTCCCTGGCCTCACTTCCCTTCCAGCACCACACAACAAGGGCATCTAGGTTAAAAGTTGCAAAATAAGAGCTCCCTTCAGGCTGCATACTGGTAATTAATACTCAGCCTCAGCTGTGCTCACTCAGGGGCACAGGCAGCCACAGAACACTTTCCTAAAAGCAATCGTTAGAGATGAATTTTCCATATTCATCTCCTCTGGGGCCCCACACTTCTCTCCTCTAAAGCAGACAAGCTGATGAAGCAAACAGGATGCATTTCATCACGGCAAAACAGATCCTCAGAGCTGGGAGCAGAAACTCACTTTAGCTATTGATGTGCAGAGGCTGTCGTGTTCCAGGAAGAATTCCTCAATGGCACATAAGGCATTCAAGTGATCTGACGCCCGTTTTATGTAGTTCTTGAACAACGGGGTCCAGTTCTTCAACAGCTGCAGGAGGAAAACACAGAAGAACATTTCCTGAGCTATGATATGGATGTGTGCAGTTAGTCCTGTTTCTCAGCTCGGCTGCACTAAAACTGAGCCCGGGAGGCATTTTATGAAAAGCTCCATCTAACAGCTTGGCGTTTTTGACCCCTTCTGGCTACCAAACAGTATTCAGGCTCACGTGTGCAGATCTGACCTGGTGTTACTAGAGAGCTGGTGTTACAGCTTTGAGAGCGTCCGTTAACTGCCACACTAAACCTCTAATGGAATCTGGTACTCAGAGAAAATCACTTCACAGCAGACTGATAAGGAGAGGTATATACATGTCACTCCAATGTTCATCTCAGAGCAGCTGATATTTCACTGGAACTTTCCTTCAAAGCAGCAGAACAAATAAGGATAAAGAGAAAAAGAGAGTGCCAGCATAATTAATTACTAGCTGAGTAAAAGCAGACAGCACAAGATAACTACCCCAAAATGAGGAATGTAATGGGAAAAAACACTCACAGCTGAGCCTTACACTTGCTGTGTGTCTACAGGCTTCTTTGCCTGTAGGCAGGAAGGCAAAGGGCAAGAAGCTGTTAACTATTTGCTCAATTCTTTTCTCCCAGGCTTGTTTTTGATGAAGCCTTCAGTTTAATGACTTTGATGTTGCCTTTTTAAACAGTATTTCTGGCTGAGTCTCACACACATCTGAAAAGCAGGTAGCAACAAAAGCTCTGCAAAGCAGCACAGACTGACCAGGCCCTGTGATAGGAAGTAATAAAAATACTTATAGCCCTGTCCATAGAAGTTTTAAAGGCATCAGGATTGGGAAAACAGGGCACAAAAATTCCTGCTTGACCACACTGCGATCAGACTATCCCAATAACACACTGTAGGAAAGGAAGTTAAAGTTCCAATTCTTTTTAACTAGATGAATTCAACAGCAGGCACCTAGCGACTACATCCATGGCATGCTCATACCAGTACGCTGTCTCGCTGCACCTTCAGCTCGTTGCCTCCCTACAGAGCACACTCATCTGGTCTATTTTAAAGGGAAATGGGAAGTTCTCAGGGATTTGGGTGCGAGGAAGAAGCCCTGGGTTGCTTATACTCAGGGTTAACCAGAGCTACTCTGTTTTGGACAGTGGTTGAGAGGCAGCAGCCCTGCTAGCAGGACAGCTCCATCGACAAACAGCAGAGCTAGCACCCAGGCCAGTGTGAACTATCAACATAGTTTGACATGACTTCATCCCATGTTCACTAAAATCATGCCTACCGCTCAGGGAAAGATGAGGTTTTCTGTACCACCTCTGCTCTGCAACTTATTCAAGAGCCAAACAAGATGCCTCACAGATATTAAACTGGAGAGTGCTGTTTCTCAGGCCTTCGTGTTTCATCTGGAAAAATACCTACAAGCATATCCCTTACTGGGTTTTTGCTTCCCAAAACGGCTGCAAAACTTAGGAGCCTCATACTCAGGGGCCAACACTTCAGAGCACATACTGTGGTTTCAAGTCGAACCATACATCATAACTATGGCATTTCCACAATTTCCCCTCCTGAGCTGTTTGACATGGTTCTACCATTGCTCTTATACAAACACTCCATCTCCCTTCAGCACCCATTAGCTGGAGTTGAGCTACAAAGAGCAAGAAACATGAAGCAGTTGGGCAAAGTTCAGCAGGCTTCTGGTATTCATCACTCTCTCAACGTAAGCACTTCCACCTCAGACAAACTCTTTGCCACAGGAAAACCTGTATAAGCAGTGCTTGAGTCTAATGCAACTATCATTTGAGGCCATGTCAGCTACATATTGTACACACCTTTGATCTGTGCTAACCCATACAAAGCTACTGCTTGGGGTTCTCAGGGTGTAAGCACTCGTACCTTAAAGGAATGCATTTTTGACCAGCTAGGTAACCGCAAGTCGTTTGCTGCAAAGAACCCACCATTTCAGATGCTGCACAAACACCCACGCTCTGCCCGAAGAACTGGTCTCTTCTCTTCAGAGTACAGTTAGTAAACACACCAGCTGCTCACAGGAAGACTGCTAATGTCTGTTTAGTAAGTCTTAGAAGGCTGATTCACTGCCTGTATTAGAGGAGGTCTCAAGTCAAACACATTGGGTTTTTGGAATTGAGATTAACATGTTTGCAGCTGAATAGTGACAGCCTTCACCAGGACACTGCCTTCCAGCTCATCTCAGTGCAGCGAGCCCAGCACAACATTTTGCGTGCAGCAAAGACGCCGAGGCAGGAAATTCTCCCAGAGTAGGATATTCTAATAAACTTGCTGGCTGTTTTTCATAAAGAAGCATTTGGAGAAGCTGGCTACCATGCTGGTTAATTGCTCGAGCACTCGATTCCTCTGACTAATCTAAGGATGATTTCTATTTCATAAATGCACATGTCACACACCTCCCTTTCTGAGCACCCGCTACCTTTCCAAAGATGCAATATACATATGGACACAGTTATTCAGATGAAAGCCCTTCATGTATTTTCCATTATGTTTAGCTTGAAAGTTTTCTTTTTTCTTTTTTTTTTCATTGTTTTTAGGTTTTTTTGGCAGGGGGTGGGGTGGAAGGGGAAGGAGGTGGGGGAAAGAATACTTAACATTAAACATTTATATAATATCCCTCATCCCTGATCAGATCCTCCTCTCCCTGGATCCTGCAGTGATGTTCCCCTTCAAACTCACACTAGATTAGGAGCCCCACCTAGGAGATTTATTTTAGCTGGAATGAAAACATCCTATACAGTTATCAGCTTCACACCATCCGCTGTCTGGATGTAGTACATCTAGACTTAGAGTCTGCTATCTGCTCCAAGGTTCTCCTCAGTCCTTCAACTCTTTTTTTCCAGGACAGTACATCTTAGTCAAGACAACAGAACAAAACTAGGCAGACTAGAAATGGAGTGAATAGCAAAACCCCATTAGGGCAGCTGGTGAGCAGAGCAGTTCTCTGCTGTAGTTTCCTATCAAAGGCATCTCCACACATCCAGGATATAAAGCGTCATGCTTACAACCACAAAAAGAAGAGTCAGTTTTCCACCATTTATCATGAATTGAGAGCAAATACTTCCACTCAACAGATGATGTACATGTCTAGTGGTCTTATCTTTGGCTGTCTACTCAGGAATTTAAATTAGTCCTTCCCAAACAGATGCAAGATCCATTCATTCTGATAAAGCACCTTTGTAAGCTGGAGTTTGCAAACTCAAAATGTGCAAGGACACAGAATCGTTGCACTGCCTTCAACTTGGATCCACAAAGCCATTAAGGTGAGACTGCCTGTTTTTTAAGTAGATCAGATTTCAGTTTGTTCCCTTTACATCAGGAAGTAGAAAATACTCTCACTCAATAATACCCCAGTCTCTCTAGAAACCCAACAGAATTCTGAATCTTCACTCAAAGACAGCAAGATCTTGCCTCTGCACTTGGCTGGAAAAGAATTGGCACCTCTTGCAGTATGCAGACAAGTAATACTTTGGAAAGGATCCCACTGGGAGAGAAGCACTCCCTGCTGCCGCAGGGATCGGACTCATGATGGTTTGGAATTAGGTCCCTAGAATTCCTGTAAAGATACTTCCAAGCCTATCTCTGATCTCTTCTGAAAGTTATACACTTCTGCTATCACACATAGGAGATGGAAATAACCATAAGCTGTTGAAATAGTACTTCCCACATCTACAATCTCAGCTAAGTTCTGTCAAGCAGATACAGTAATTTCAGTTTGCTTCTAGCTCCACAGAAGACAAACAGGTTCACAAATTCATGAGCCTCAAGTGGCTTCAGGACTAAGTAAAAAGATTCCTCAGTCAGGAAGTATCTGGGGGATCTAATCCAACTCCTACACACTAGGACAAAAGACTCAAGAAGAGTTAAATAGAGGAGCACTCACAGGAAGTAATGCTGAGAAATAGTTTTGGGAGTCCAAGTTTGCATCCAGCTGCTGCAATGGGAACTCCAGGATCACTTTACTCAGCACTTGCATCATCTCCTTCAGGCCAATATTATAGGCATACCTGCAAAGAAAAAAGTCAGTAAAAATACAATATATACTGCCTGATCTTTGCACACTACCGTTCCTTCCAGCGACATAACAGAAGATTTGATTTGCATTTTGCTGACTTATTTTTTTCTCTCTCCAAACATCCATTCAATTAAAACACCTTGCACTGAAACAGGCCTTATGGAAGATATTTTTTTCTCTCTCCAAACATCCATTTAATTAAAACACCTTACAGGCCTTATGGAAGGCCAATCCTGAAAATCTGCTATCGCATTGAAAAAAGCTGCTCCAAGCGAGAGCACCCTCACATTTGCTAGAGGGCTGCATGAAGATTGTTGCATAAAATATGGGGATTGGGTTTGTGTTTGAGAAATACTAGGTGAAAGTGTTGTGTTCTAGATTTGCTGCTGTGTAACCAGAGTGGACAAACCACCCTTCAGCAGAGTCACAGCTGGCTGAATGTTACAGTGTACAGAGCAGTGGCTCTTGTATGAACTTACATGCATCTCGTGCCAAAGAGAAGTTCACTTCAGTTACTCAGTAGCAACTAAGTCTCCTGACCAAGAAACTGGGTTGGAAAAACCTAATGACCGCGTAGGCTCTACATGCAGCTTCTGCCATCATTAAGTCATCATCTCTCATCTGCATTTCTCATGCTCTACTACTGGCAAAAATAACGCGCAACAATCGGGCACGGCCATTCATGTAGTTTCTGCTTTCTAGACCTGTTGAAAAATCCAACTCTGCAGAATCAGGGACTCACTTAAGAGAGTTGATTTCCAGGACCAGGTTGTCACAGGAAATGTTTTCTTCTTCGCCCCTCTGTAATGTACCCAGAACTTCATTCTGGAAAACTATTGAAAGGAAGGACAGGTAGTCAGAGAGTAGATAGAGAAGTGCTAATTCTTTAAACACTTTAATTACTGAAGAAACTACATCCTTAAAGAAAGCATTTGACACAGCTCTCTATTTGCTTTCCTAGCTAGAGCGAGCCCACTTCAATTATACTGATAAATTCTGGTATAACTCAGGCAAAAGAAAAAACTTACTAGAGATCATTGCTCCATCTACTCTGCATTGCTTCTATTATAATTTCACACATGAGGCTTGTCTGAATAGGAAAGTCTAAAGTTCCCTTAATCAAAGGTGTGAACTGAAATCTACATATTATTGTTTTAATTTTATTTGGAGAAATACTTTAACATGACAAGGTTTTTTACCCTCCCCGCCTTTTTCAAAGTTTAGCTTGAATCCCTTTCAAATCCATGCAAGCTTAACAGAGTGAAACACAAAACCAAAACATATTTCTAAGAAGAGGCAGCTCCTACAAGGAAATTCGATGCTCAAACAATTCCAGAAGTAAAATTGTCTACACAGGGAAGCTTTGTTGGGCCTTTATGCAACTACTTGGGAGTTTAAGCAGTGACACTGCCATTTAAAGAGGGAGTGCTAGGGGAGACTGCTTTCACAAAGACCCTGTGATCATGAGTAAGAAAGATAGAGCATCTTTCCCTTGGGTCAACATATCATAGCAATACAAGGGACATCTCTCACCTTTGATGTCATCCAGCTGTGGGGATGTGGCCCGACTGTCAGGCTCCTCAGAGTCCAAGCTCAGGTCACTGTCCGACTCGCTCTCTTCCTCCGAATGCAGGGTAGGGCCTGAGGAAGAACAGGGATTAAGCATTCAACATTCAGAAGCTGCAGCTGTTGTATGAGTGGGGAACCAGGTGTCCCGGGGCTCCCCAACTAAGTCAGCAAATAGCTGTCCTTGCAACGGAGCTTGCACCTACACCTTCAGATGGTTAAAATTGCTGCAGAGGGAACACTACAGATGGCACTGGAATAATGTTTTTTTTTTTAAAAGAGTCTGCAGACAAATAGCCAAGGGCAGGGACAGAAGAAAATGCATCTTGCCCTGACTGCTGACTCACAACGGAGCAACGTTAGCATAATCAGTCACTAGCAGAAGAAAACCTGCAGTAGCCACAACAGCCAAAACACACCCACTCCAAGGGAAGGCCTCGCAGCCTCCGACATGCGTTTCATAGCCCAGATGGCTACGTGTGTTACTGGAAGTGAAAGATAAAACAACCATCTTTCATAAAGCAGAGAGAATCTGGTCCAACAGCTGCTTTCCAGAAGTAACCTGTATCTTCTGGCCTCACTCCCACATATAAATATGTTATCTGGAAGCCAGCCTGCTTCACAGAGCCCAGGCAGTATTTTTAGTTCAGTCGCTGGAGACTCTCACTTTGGCACCCATCACGCTTTCAGTGTGCACAAAGCTACAGAGTTGTTCTGCAGTTTCCCACCTCTTGGTCCTTCTTAAATTCAGGCTCTATGTCCAGACCTCCTAGGACAGGAGAAACGGCTAACTTGCTCATTTAACTCTATTTCCACGCCTTCTCCAGACTTTTTGATGAGAAAGACTTCTATGCACCAATAACTGGAGTTTATCCTGCACTTGTTAAAAAGCTTTTCTTCGTCTCATGAACTGCATATTGCCTTCTTTTTCTAGATGCAATTACCAGTGTCCCACTTGGCAAGTTCCACCGGTACAAAAGGTCTATGCCTGTTCATCCCCAAGTAATTGCACTGGGCTTGTTCTCACCCCACAGGCTCTGTCTCTGCTCTTCTTCATCCTCTTCATTCTTGTCATCTGCTTTCCACAGGTAGCCTCTGCCCTCTGAGCCCACATCCTTTTTATTGTAACCTGAAAAAGACACAGTGATTAGAAGGAAATGGATGTACTGGATCTGCTTATAGGCAAACCTGAAATAGACCGCTCTCACCCGCATGCTACTGTCCCTGAATGCTCTTCTTCAAGAGGGGTTTCCTAAGAATACACGCATGGATTTCAACTTTTATCTTCCCACTTGCCTCAACAAGTGACTGCCTGACTTCCCTCTACACCACAACTCCCACCTGACCATGTGTAGATCCCTCAACAAACCTGAACCGAAAGAAACAATATTCAACAGGAAAACGTCCTTGGACACAGGCCAGGTGCAGGGACATATATCCCACATCCTGCCTTGAACCAGACATCTCTTCTAGCTTCAAGTTATCATCTCTTACAAGGCTCCTCCTCTAAGAAAAATGGAAAACAGCTCAGTCTCTGCAAATGTTAATGCTAGGGTACTGAAGTACACCTCACTGTCCAACTTAAGACACATCTAGCCTTGCTTGCCATACTAAAAACAATGTTCCAAGCTGAACACAGCACTAGCCTCCAGCTCTAGCCTTGCTTGCCATACTAAAAACACACATGTTCCAAGCTGAACATAGCACTAGCCTCCAGTTTGGCATTACAGAGTCTAGAACAGGGGAGGGAAACCCCAAAAGATCCTGGAGGGTAAAGCATTTTGTGCAGCCTGAGCCCATGGAGCCAGAGACTCTCATACCTTTCAGTTTCACTTTGCTCTCAATCTTGTTCACACCAGAATCATCACTGAACTGGTCTTCATCCTCTTCCTCCTCATCTGGTGGGTGCAGAGAGATCACTGTGCCCTCAAAGAGGGTGATGTCAGGACCTACTACTACCTGTAAACATGTACAACATATCTTAATGAAGAAACACTCAAATAATATCCTGAATGCCTCCTCCATCAGGGGCAATAGCTCTTTGGACAAGCAAGTCCGAGAAAAGATCCAATGAGCATAAGTGAAAACATCAGCACTGCAAGAACCTTGCCCAACTGCCTGAAGGAGGAAAAGGATGGGAACAGTAGCATAGCTCCCACCCTGAAGAAAAGGTGTGGAACAGCCCTTTGTTCGGTACATTCCAATGTTTAAGTCTCATCACTTTTCGAGGGAAAACAGAACAAACATAGCTCACCTGAGAAGAAAGGACACAGCGAGGCTTTAGCTTTACTTTCTCCTTCACCTCAGCTTCATCACAGATAACAGAATGGCAGATTTCCACATTATCTGCTATGTGAACTCTGTCCCAGAGAAAGGCTCCATCCAAACGGACTCCGTCACCTGTTACACACCATCAAGGACAAATAAGTTGAGCAAGGCAGACTGCTGCTTTCCCACACCAGTGAGTCACTAGAAAGCATCTTATTCATTAAATTCAGGACTGAACAATGTCCTTGATGGATGATGGATGTACACATAAAAAATATGTATTAGCCTTATCGGTCTACAACTATTTCTTATTTCAATCTATCCAATCTAGAAGAGGAGTTTGTTCTCTACAGAAATTCAACAAGTTGAAAGTAACAACTGACATCCTGATTTTGCACAGATATGGTCAAATCACAAAAAAAAACCCCAAAACAATAACAACAACAACAAAAAATACCCACCAAGCCAAGGATAAGAAGGGGTATAAGCCTCATCTGTAGGATGCTAGTGGGTGTTATTTCTTTATCGGTAAGAGATATGCATTCCTCAACGCTGAAATACCTCCTTTCATTGCATGAAGTGCCTTCTGCCTTTCAGCATCATTACGACACCCTGGAACTTCAATCTATTGCCTTCACTAGAAAACAAAGCCTTTCTCCTTTCTTCCCACTATACGTCACCATGTAACACCCACCTAGCATCCTCCCTCAGAGTCAAATGTATTTAAAAACAAAGGCCTAACAACTCGTGCCTTGTCTCAGCACGTTCCCCCTTCCGGGACTCACCTATCCTACAGTTCTGCCCGATGACGCTGTTGGTTATCAAGCAGTTGCTGCCAATGACTGTCCCCTGCCCAATGAGGACATTCTCTTCCAGGACGCTGCCGTGGCCGAGGCTGACATCCACTCCTCGGTAGATGTTGTGTTTAGAATGGGTGTAATTCTGATTCTTGTTATCAGTGAAGTTCATTTCTGGAGTCAAAGGATAAACCCATCGTCGGATGATATCAGAGCACACAGCTTTGTACATAAGCAGGTTGCATATATGGGCTGCATACTGTTCTGTTGTTACATGCATATGGATCTGGTTCCCCAGGACCTGGTAAATGGACACAAATATGTTAGAGAACTCCCCAGTACAAGGTAAAATGATCTCCCGTGCACCATCCCTATCCTTACCTCCTCATTTACCAGCAAGCCACGCACGAAGTCATCCCGTGTCTGGTAATCAAAATTGTCTGTAAACAACTCAGCCACCTGCCAAGAATAAAATTCAAGGAAATAATATAATCAGCATAAAACATGCTGAGGAAGCCAGAAAATTAATGGCTGTTCATGGTTCTCAGAGAGGCGAGTTATATAATATAGGAAAGTGGTGCTCTTGCCTTGAATAAAGCTTTGATTCCTTCTGCTAGGAGTGTTGACTCTCCCATCTCTTCCTCCTACAGTAGACTATGAAAAGACTCTGGTTTTCAGAAGGGGCAAAACATTGTTTTAACATTTTTAAGTAGTCAGCCCAGCCTAGCTTTGTAGTCAAGAGAAGTGTATAGACCATCTCCTTTTTTTGAGTGCAAGGACATGCTGGAATAGCCATGAATATTTACACCTGGCATGGTACTGGCTTGCAAGTACTGACACTATCCACAGAACAGCCATCACCTCTGCCCCACAGACTTTACTCGAGTAAAGTTTTTGAGTATGAGACCATACTCAAAGTGAGCTCACCTCCTTTCCAGTATGATTTCAACCTGTTCCAAACCGGCCGTTTATTCCATTGATGAATGAATGTTTACACGGACTAGAACTGCCTGTCACCAGTGGGCAGGTTGAGTGACAAGCTTTTCAGAGAAAGAACTGCAGGCCTTGGAGAACACTAAGTGGAAAACAAGCCAGCAATGCGTCTGCACAGCAGAGAATGAGTTGCATTAGGCAGAGTGTCACTAGCAGGTTGAGGGAGGGGATCCTTCTCCATTACTCAATACTGGTGACACACAGATCTGTAGTGCTGGGTCTCAGCTCCCCAGGATGAGAGAGACCCGCAGACATCAGGGCAAATTCAGCAAAGGGACAAAAGAATGCTGAAGGGACTGCAGCATCTGTCCATGTATGAAGACAAAGAACTGGGACTGTCTAGCCTGGAGCAGAGAAGGCTCTGGGAAATCTTTTCAATGTGTTTATATATCTGATGGAAGCAGAGGTAAAGAAATGGAGGAATGAAGAATGGAGGTAAAGAAATGGAGCTAAACTGGTGCTGGGGCCAATGGTGCCCCAGTGACATGATACAAGGCAATAGGCACAAGCTGAAACAGAGGAAATTCTGTCTGAACATAAGAAAATGCCTCTTCACTTTGAGGGTGGCTGAACACTGACTGGCAAGCCTGCCCAAAGAGGCTGAGAAGTCTCCATCCTTGCTGATACTCAAAACACGACTGGACATGGTCCTAAGCAACTTGTTCTAGCTGACCCTCGAGCATGGGGTTGGACCAGCAACCTCCAGAGTTTCAGCCTCAAGCTTCCAGCCTCAATTCTGTGATTCTGTGGGTGGAGGATTCCAGGCACTGACTGAGCTCCCACTGTCCATGGAGCAGTGCCGCAGGTTCACAAGCAGCAGCTCTGCTTTCCAGACTCAGTACACCCAGGCTGCACGTTGCTCCCGCACATCAGGTGCCCTGGGGGAGCAAACGGATGGCACTCCAGGCCCTCGGGAAGGCAGCGCTCACCTGTGGAGAGCAGATGCTGATATGACAATCCAGCAAATCATGGCGCACCTCAACGTTTTCAACTGAGTTCTGGAACACACTCTGAAAGAAGAGAAAATTCAGACAAGCTGAGCACCTCATGCAGTACTGAATCTGCAGAGACTTCATGAGCCTGTGGCATCACATGGATTGAAATTGATTCAATTATTAAACTAGCTCTAGTTCTGCAGACAGAAGTCTGACCTACACTGAGACACAGCCTCCGCAGCAGCAGCCTGGCCACACACAGAGTTGTGTCAGACAGCAGAAACCTCCCCCTTAAACAGTTCAGCTATCCAAGAAAAAACTCATAAATCAAACAATCACTTTTCTTCCAAAAAGCTCCTCACCTTAGTTGCTAGGAACAACAAATACACAAACAACATTCATAAAGGAAAGTAGCTTTCATAGCTTCTACACCTTCTGCGAATTTGTGTGGCTTTTAAAAAAATATATATTGAAGAAGAAAATTAGTCTAAGGATTACTGATTTGGTATACTCATAGCCTCAGTTCTGAGCTGAACAAGACAAAATTACCATTTGTCCTATGCCCCTTATGCCCACTGTTATTCCACTCCCAATCTACCTCCCTTGTTTCACATTCAGGGAAGAACAGAATCAAAGCAGAAAACTGAAGTTTTAGAAAAGCATGTCTACCCTATCTTCAAATTCCAAAATGAGTCCCTCCTAGGGCTGTTCCAGTACAGTTCCACCAAGCCTTCAATTGTCTCAGACAGGATCAAAGGTGCAAAACAGTTCACCAAGCATCACTTCCCAACCCCTGCTCCTCCAAAAGAGGGATAAGCACTGCTCCCCAGCCTCGCTTTACAGGACTCCCCTGGGGCCAGCTGCTTTGCAGCCCTTTTGCACCTGCAGGACGCACCATCGGGAAGCGGAAGCGTTTCAGCCCCTGGGTTTTCTGATAGTGAAGGACACGGTTTGTGGCGCTGTCCATAGCAACAATGATGTCATCCTCATGGCACCTGGCATGATGACCAGGCGAGGACTCTTTGAAAATCATCGTCATCACAGAAATATTCTTCTCCATCTTACGACGCAACCTGAACGGAAAGGGCAGAATTTTAAGTCACTCTCCAGATAGTTACACTCTCCAAAGTCAGCACACCAGCCAGACACGGGCTTCCTTCAACACCTACTTATGCTCTTCCAGGGCTCTGGACACATTGAAGTTGGACACCACATCCCCAGTGACAAGGATGAAGTCAGAACGAACGAGGGACTTGGCATCGACGTCTCGCAGTACGTCACCAAGCGAGCGGTACAGATCGGAAGTCACAAAACGTACTGTGTTGGGAGACGTGGGGCGGCACCACTTGGACTTTCTGGAAGGTGAAAAACACACCAAGAAGGCATGGAAAGAAGCTTCTACTAAGGATACCCAAGAACACAGGGTCCCAGCACGCACCACGTCCGTAAGTGCAGGAAGAATCCTATTACAACAAGCACAGGCAGAGACCGGATCATATGGTTCATTCTGAGACTATGGTTTAGGTAATCTTAGGAAACTACACCTTTCTGTGAGCAAAATTTTGACAGAGGAGAAGGAAAGATTACACTCAAGTCAAAATTTCTTTCTCCAAAAGCAGTTTTCTGTCAAGCAGAGAAGAGAAAAGCCTGCATGCTTGTCTTCAGCATGTGAATCTGCAGCATGCAGACACAAAACACTCCTTCCACGAGAACTGTTTTCAATATACCGCACTAGTCACGGAGACACAGCAGAAGGCTGGTAAGGGCTGCTGCTAGGATTACATGGCTGGCCAGGAAAGCACTGCTTTTATGCAAACACACAAAGAGCAATAAGAAATGCAATCCCCAAACACTGCTTTTGAAATAGTGCACAGCCCCACTTCTTCCCAGGAGGTTCTATGACCAAGCTAGAAATGAAGGAGTAGAGTTCCTTACTGCAAATGCTCTTTTATCTCAGCTGACTTCCAACAGCAGAAAACAAAAGTTTCTTCTACTCCAGTTGCCGTTAGGAACTCCAGGGTATAGTCGATCATGGCCACATTTGCCATAGGTAGGAGAACCTTAAAATAAATAAACAAATGAATAAACAGATGGAGAGATAGCTGAACACACCCACTGAAGCTGAAATATCATTACTGTCAGAACAGAAAGGTGAGATTATCACATCTAAAACTCTTCAAGAAGCCTCAAATAAGCGACAGATACCAAAACAAAACAAACAAACATCAAAAGATTTCAGAGTGCCAGTTCCCTGACTCTGGCTTTAACTGCTACAAGAAAAACCTGTCAGACTTGAATGACAAAGCCACAAGAATTAGAGTCTCCATAATAATAATAAAAAAACCTTCTATCTAATGTGAAGCGAGTGTCCTCTTGACTAGAGATTCACGCTGCACTTTAAACCTGACTTACTGATTCAAGCCTGAAAATTCCACACTATTCCTTGACCCATTTTTGGCAGTGCTTTGTACCAGGTCTGCACTCGCGTGGGTAATTACGCGCCCTGCAAGCAGTTAATCACGCTGAGCAGGCGAGCTCAGGTGCTTGCCCACACTCGAGCTCTGCAGAAGCTTTTTCCTTCCACGCGCCG